TCACATTTGACAGTCTTAATGGAGTTTGATGGGGAAAAGCCTGAATGACTCGGCTACAAAAATTAGCCGTTTAATCAAGGATAACTCCTTAATCCCGTACTTGATAAACACGCTCAAGAGGCTGCTGGGCGATGTTGTAGTCATGAATGATTAGCTTCTGTTTTCTGTGGAACGAGATAACGTTGCATTTGTGAATGCTTAGCGTAAGGCTATTTCTAGAGCACCACTCAGCGAAACGGTCTATTAATTGCTGTAATGAGACACAGTCCTGAAGACATTTCACCACCATGTAAATTTTGACGTCATCAGCATAGGATAAGCGGCAACCAGGGGGCATGAAAATTGAAAACAGCAGGGGACCCAGATTGCTCCCCTGTGGCACACCTGATATGTTGGTGAACGGTGCAGAACATTCACGTCTAATCTTCACAATGAGTCTCCGGTCCGTAAGATATGATCTAAACCAGCAGGTCAAGTTTGAAGAAACACCAAGTCTTTCAAGTCGTTCAAGCAAAATCTCATGATCAACTCGGTCAAAAGCAGATTTTAGGTCGGTGTACACTGCATCAACTTGTGTGCCAAGATCCATTTTACGTAAGCAAAATGAAGTGAACTGGACGAGGTTCGTAGATGCCGATCTCTTGGGATAGAATCCGTGGTGATTTGAAGAAATATAATTCCTGCAGGAGGTGAACAGCATGTCGTTGATTATGATCTCAAAAATCTTCGAGCAGGTGCACAGTGAAGTTATTCCACGATAGTTCTCAATGTTACGCTTATTGCCCTTTTTGTGAACTGGAAACATAATGGAAGTTTTCCAGCTGGAGGGAAATTTACGCTCACGCAAGGAATTTCCAAAAATTCCTTGGGTTTCTCCTAAGATTGTCTTGCATACGTAGAGTGTAGCGTTTGTACAAGAAGCAATTGTATGTCCAATATCTGTTACTAACTCGATTGTATACCTGCTTAGCGAATGGACAACGAGATCTGCAGTATTTCCGAAGTGCTTCAAATGTCGCAGATGTGCATTTCCCCAAGCTGGCTTCGGGCTAGGCCTACGCAAAAGAACATGATCAGCAATGATGTTATGCATAATCCGAGTGAAGCGATCAACAGCATCGTCCACATCTCCGGAAGTATCCAAATGTGCCCAGTTTGTATGGAAAAGTGCATCCACCTTTCCTTCGAAATCTGCCCTGCAAAAATCATAACCTGGATCTTCGGGAAAGTCCTCAAAATCGAAACCTCTAGAAATGTTGACTTCGACTGTTAACGGAGGGTGATCAGCATCGAGAATAGATAAAGGTTCCGTAGCCGCTGATAACGAGCATCTTTCAAGTGTCGTATCATTCACCAGAGCTAGATCCAAGAGGCGACCATTTCGGTTGTCGATTGTATTGATTTGTGTTAGGCCATGCAGACTAAATCCGTCGAGTAATGCAGCACAAGCGACAGAGATGTTGGATTGCAAAACATCTACTGTTGGTTGACCGTTTCTTGAAGAGTCCCAAACTAAACCAGATTGATTGTAATCTCCTAGTAGAAGTGCGTGGTCGTTTGCACCAACACGCTCCAATGGATTCGACATGATTCGTTATGCTACTCAAATCAGCCTTACGATCCGGTGGTAGGTAAATGACTCCAATGCTAACGGAACAGTTAGGTAATTTAAGCTTTACCCAAAGATGTTCAAGCGACGCATCGACAGATCAGATGAAATAGCGATCAGTACCCCACCGCCACGAGATTTTCGGCTATTCATTTGACTACGGTCGTTTCTGAAAACGGTGTATGAGTTTCCAAATAGTTGTGACGAGAAGATTTGCTCATTTAGTCACGTTTCGGTAAAAACGATATCATAACGCGATTCCGTAGCAGCGAGAAAGACGTAGTCGATTTTCGTCCGTAAACCTCGTACGTTCTGGTAATATATCTGCAAATTGTCACTAGCCGTAGCTGACCGGATTGTTTCAACAGTACAATTTAAATCCATGGATGAATCATTGCTCCTATTTGAAGGTAGCTTGTAGGGGGTCCTGGGGTCATTCGTTGAGTTTCGGTGTGAAGCAGAACCATCTTCTCTATGGACGGTGAGCCCATCGTTCGTCGGATCCGCGCGCATGTCAGACGTGGTAGCATTAGTAACGTTTCATTCAGGCTCTTTGGAACAACATGTGGTGAAATATGAAACGCACCTCTTAAAGTGAAATGCACATAACAATGACCAGTGTCATCACTTATTCACACATGAAAGCTGCCTCAGCAGAACGCGCCCTAACCTACACTGAATCAAAGGGCAGGGCACCAATTTTGAAAAATTGGTTAACTAAATGAGTTTCACTATCTCTCCGTAGATATGGATATTTTGAGATTTTGTTACGTTTTGAGAGTTGGTGCCAGGCATGGAAAATCATTTGCATTCATTTCGTGCATTCATTTACATGCATTTGCCTCTTTTTTCTTCAACAGCATTCCGCAAAATGATGTAAATAGCTTTTGTAGGTTTTGTTATTAGCTACAACTTTTGTTAACAAGTCAAATCCGTATCTCTAATGCATGAGGAACCAGAGCGAACAGAAGCCACTACTGTTTTTCAGTGAATGTATTTTACATTCACTGAAAAACAGTAACAATTTCTGCCCGCTCTAGTTCGTGATGCATTAGAGATACAAATTTTAATTATGAGCAAAAGTTGTAGCTAATAACAAAACCTACAAAAGCTCTACACTGTACACAAACATCATCCTCTGATCGAATGAAACCTTAGACCATTCAAAACAAAACACCGAAATCGCTTTTTCGAATGATAGCTGCAACCGGATGACGGTTGTTTTGAAATCAGATGATTTTCCTCTAAAATTCAGGATGAAACTTGTTATGAGAAGGGATAGGACCTTCAGTTGAAATGCGTAATGCTCTCTGCAGAATGACTGTCATACTAAATGGAAATGCATATGGTATTGGTTCAGCCCCATAACGCAAATCATTCAAAACGATGATGTAAACAATTCTATCGAACGTCATTTGCTGATCTGAGCTGACAAGCGAGGTGGAGGCATATGCATCGCTATCAGAGCTGTTACGAACAAAGGTAAAGGATGAAAGCCAATGTTTGGTTAATTCGTGGTGGAGGAGGTTTTCTCCACCACGAAAATTTTTTGTATCTATAATAAAATGGCTTATTATGGCTATTCAGTATGGAATGGTAGATAATCAAATTATAAATCTAATTAAAAGCACTTGCATGTCACACTATTCTTAAATGTTTTTCCTCTGAGTGCCGTATGTTTTATAGCTAATTTTCAAACAAAAATCATCCTGTATTTGGATGACAGTCATGTGGATGTTCATCATCTGACGACGAATTCAACCATAAGAAAATCATCCGAAATTCGAATGCATATTGTTAAAGGGCTCGAGCAATGCAATAATCATTCGAAGTATTGCGGATGTTTTGGTTCAGTGTGTACATCATTTTGCGGAATGCTGTTGATGAAAAAAGTTAGAGCCAAATGAATGTATATGATTTTCCATGCCTGGTTGGTGCACAGTAGACTGATGCAAAATTTGAAATTTTTGCTCCACAGTGCTCAAACGGTTTCAAATCTTGTCCTGATTAGCCTCCCAATATTTAAACTCATTTCGTAAAAAACTGACATGGCACAAACCATTCGAAGTTTATAAGGAAATTACTATGGGAAAACTAAACTTGTTGTTCATTGTCTTCTACCCATTTTCCATATTGCTTTTTTGAAAAGTTCTATAACTATTCTTACGGAAAATTTTCTAACCTACAACTTTGCGAAATATCGTTTTTCAGTCAAATGTCAAATTAAATAGTTATTAATTGTTTAAGAGATTGATAATCTTATGGCATGATCAAGCAGCTGTTCTGTGAGCAACACTGTATTCTGCAGTGTGACATAGTAGCCATGATATTTGTCCTCTATTCTTCGCACCAGAAACACCAATGTTGCCTGCTGAACAGTTGAATGAGCATAATCATAAGACATCAGTGACTTGAATCATAAACAACTTTTGTTCCTTACATTTGACTGAAAAGTGGTTTTGAACAAAGATGTAGCTGAGAAAATTTGCTACAATCACTGCTATCATTTTTAAAAGCATAATGATGTGGTGAATTGTTAGACCGATATCAACAAAAACATAAGTTTTCCCATAGTAATTCCCATATAAACTTGAAATGGTTTGTGCCAAGTCAGTTTCTTACTAAAGTAGTTCAAATTTTGGGAGGTTAATCAGGACCCAATTTGGAACCGTTTGAGCACTGTGGAGTGAAAATTTCAAATTTTGCATCAGTCTAGTGCACAGGTTGATTGAGTTTATGGCGATGGCACTGATTGACGGATTTCTGTTTCTGGACCATATCTTGACGACGTTTAAAAATTTATTCGACAAAGAACAGCGTGGAAACAAAGCGAGTAATGGCGCTATAGCCATAAGCCATAAAAGGCTAGGACAAGAGTTAGTGCTCATACCCCAACCGTCAGAAGAAAATGAAGCATCACTTAACCTATCTAGCTTTGATGCTTCCAACGATCAACTAATCATATAATTACCAAAATCGGAACGTACTGTACGAGATGTACACGCTTCATCCTTTTATTGGATTCTGAAGCATCGTGCCCGATGTTTTCTGAATCATCTTCCCTTTAAATGCTGCACAGTAGGCCTGGCCGTTTTGATATGTGTGACGCATCTTTGATGTGAAACATATATCAAATAGACAAGAAAAATGATGTAGGTATATATATATCATTTTCCAGGATGCTTTCAAGAACTGGCTGTGTTGGTGTTAGGTTAGATTAGATTAGACATCTTGACGACGTTTAAAAAAAATATTATGTCCAGATAATGTTTCGTTGATTAAGTGAAATTTCTCGCCATAGTCAATTTTGGAAAAGTAAAGAAACATTAATTTTAACACATTATTAAACCTATCCTAATATAGCAAACTTTGACAATGTCCTCAATTACAGATTCAGCTCGGCGCAAAAGGTGGACAACCACGTATGCTTTCAATAGGAGCAGGCCCCGCGCAGATGAATGCAGGATTTAGTCCTCCCCATGTCCCAGAGATTAGTTCGATAGAAATTCGCAGTAGAATGAAACAAATGCACTTGGATCAGTATCACCGATTTGCTTAATTTTTTTTACCGAACTCCGCTGCTAGCACCAGGGCATGAAAAGGATATTGCAACAGGACTGAGAACTTGAAGAAGGCTGTTGAAGTGCGTCGGTAAAATTTAACCAAAGTCGGTGATGGCGTCCAAGTGTGAACACACAACATGATATAAGCTGCAACTAATTATTCATGTAGAACTTCCCCTCACTTGCTAGTTAACGCGCACTAGGGCGATAGAAATCAAACATGTGTTTTTTTAGAATGATAGTCGACATTTGAAACAAATAGAAAACGATACGCGATATAAATCAAAGGATTTCCTCAGTAAGATGTCTAGTACACAATTGAAAACGTCGAATGAGCGCAGTGAAAGCAGAACAAAGCAAAGAATAACCATGTTCTTTTTTACTAGTAGAAACCCTAGGACATAAGCCATATTAGTGTTTATCAGTACGAAGTTTTTTTTTTACACTGTTTTGCATTAACTTTATCCACTTTCATTTGTCACGTTCCACCTTGTTCCACCTAGCCTGTTTTCTTGGACGTTTCTGTTTAGGCAATACTTCGACGTACTAAGCGCAGAACAAAATTTTCCCGTTTTCCATTTCGCTGCTTTCGGTTTTAGGAGATAGATTTATTTATATTTTCATGTTCACATTCGTCATGCGAAAGTATTTGTAAGTTACTTTGAATAAGCAAGATTTTTTTTAAGTAATACCACTTTTGTGATGTGTTTTCCCTTCTCAACCCTTTTATGACCTGAGTTTGCAACTTGTGAGTCGTCGTCGCCTTTGTATTGTCGAAGTGCTTATGTTGAATCACAGGAAGCAAGTAAAACAAATCCATTTACAGTTGGAAAAGTTCGTCTTTTAGTCGGTATATTGCGTTTGTGTTGTGTTTTAAAACATTTGGTTCGCGATGTGGATAGCCGAAATTGAAACTGCTAGGATTAAGGACATACAAATATTACTACTACATTACTGAACATAGCACTAACCGTTACGATTACAAACATTGACAGCAAGATTATTATGATCAACAAGTAAGCCCAATATATATAATAATATATTATTAAATCACTGTAAGAGGAAGTGTACGATTTTTTTCGATCCGAAACGTGTCCGGTGAAATTTGCGCGGGAATAAAGTTGTCCTTGGGTAAGTTGATGGAGATGTGATCCGAAATTCTCGTCGGGCTTATAAACTTGTGTGGCTTAGTTGCTACTCGTCTCCCAAAATGGTCAAGCGCATTATATCCAGGGTGACCAGTAAACCAGGAAAATGCAGAGGCATTTTAAATCAACGTGGAAAAACCGGGAAAACCCATGAATTGCGAACGCCCTGCACAGTGATGCAAAATATCATGACACTCACGTGACACTTGTCTACGCATCAGCCGACTTTCGCTGAGAGAACGTTTTGTCATGCAGTGAGAGGTAGAGCCATGACAAACAACAATCACCAGTAATGGTCGCTGCTCACAAGCAAAACGTTACACTCGCTGCTGATGATGAAAAGCACAACGAAAACAGTGAAGACTTCTGCAGTACGATCATGAGAAAAAGCGAAACGACAGAAGAAAATGAAAACAATGTCTACGCATTTTCAAGTTCGTCTCGGCAGGCGCGACTGTGTGAGTTCCAAACAAAGCAGGCAAACTTAAACGGAAGCTGTTGGGCTCACTCACCAACACACTCACATAAGTAAGCAAAGCAGTAGCTGCTTCAAAATGAGCACAGATGTCGTGTTTGTCGGGAACAGCGTTGCCAAATATACCGATTTATCGGTATTTATACCGATTCCCGAACTAGATACCGATATACAGATAAGGTTCCTCAGAATACCGATTTTTGAGATTTTACACCGATTTATACATATTTTTTTTTTAAATAATCAAAATTATTATTGCCTGTCGAATTTCGGAGAATTTTTTTGTGAGAGACTTGTATCTTTTTGAATATCTCATATTTTTTGAGCCTACAAAATTCTAAACAATCGAAATACTCTTTCGACTAATGTTTACATTTCCTTACCGTTTTTTTTTGGCTGCCCATCAATCGAGAAATAGTCTGGTAATTCCTAGGATATCTAGAAATATTTTTTAAACATTATTTAACTTCCGGAAGTTTTTATTCATTTTTAAACTTCCTGAAGTTTCATCCAACTTTCCCTGATACGTTCTTCCACCTTATCTTGGAAGCTTCTTCAGCCTTCGCTCGAATGATTCTTTCATTATCTCCTGCCAGTTTTTTCAACTTTCCCGGAACTTCAAGGATGCTATCAGATTTTTATTGCGGATCCACACTAGCTGCAGGAACATTTAAGATGTTCTGAAACTTCAGAAAAGTCCAGAATCAAAGACAGTTTCATTAACTTTTGTTAAAATTCGATAACCCGGAAGTTTCAGAAAAGTCCAGCAAACTCCAGTGAACTTAAGGAAACATCATAAATATTTTCGAAACTTCACAAGTCCAAAGAACTTAAGGGAAATTTAATGTTTTTCAGGAACTTTAGTGATGCTCAGAGAACATCAGGATCAATTAATTTCAATGAGGCAATTTCCGGAAACTTTAGCAATGTACTGAGGGGCTCATGCAAATTTAGGAAACGTAAGGGAAGTTACATGAACATTAGAACTTTGTGAGAACATTTTATGGGAAGTTTTATGCTTTTTAATGGCAGTGTCGATAACTTTAAAAAATAAAAAAATAAATCGGGAAGATCAGAGAACTTCAATGCTGATGTTACAATAAATTCAAGAAAATTGTGAGAGCACTGAAGAGATTTCGTAATCTTCAAGAAAGTCCAGATACCTTCAAAGATGATTAGAGATATTCCGGTATTCTCATTATAATCAGGGAAATTCCGAGCGCTTCGAGGATGACCAGAGAACTCCAAAACAGCCCCTAATTTCAGGAAAATTACAAGAACTTTTAAGGAATTTGGAGAAATTATGGAATATGCCTAAGTGCATTTCAGGAATGTTCCGAAAACATCAGGGAAACTACGGAGTCTTCAGGGATGTTTTATGAATTATGTCCTTGTTTCTTTCGACTGTTCCGTAAGCGCTCTGGCTTCCCACTTCCGTCAGATGTTTCTTCCAACGTCTCCAGGAAATTTCTTTCATCTTCCCCAGAAAGTTCAATTAATTCTTCCAGAAATTTCATTCGTCTTCTTCTGGAAGTTTGACCATAAACCAAAGGTTTTTTTTTCGACTTCTATTGGATGGTTTTTCCGAGCTTCTTCTGGCTTTCCCTGGAAATGGCTACTTCTGGAAATTAACTTCCGATTTCCGAAACTTTTCTGGCTTCCTTTTGATGTAACATCCGATTTTTTTTCGATAGTTTATTTAAATTTTCGCCACAAGTTTCTCAGTTCGTGTCTTGGAAGTTTCCCGGATGTCATGCTTGGCATACACAGTTTCGGTCACAAACTGCTCATTTGCTAATAACTTTACACAGAGTTGACGAAACATAGTGCTTTTTGAAGCAGTAGATAGAATAGAGTTTAAGCTTGTTATAGATACAAAAAAACAAAGAAGATTTTAATTCTAGTCATAAACTGTATTTGTTTTTGCGTTGTAAAAATGAAGTTGATGGAGTGATGGAGAAATGCTCGCTCCACATCATGGACTTTAAGAGTAAAAATTCATTGGTGTTTATGCAAATGTTAAGATGTATCTACTTTTTGCATGTCTATGATCCTAAACTATCAATTACTTTGAAGAAAAACAGATTTCAACAACTGAGTAAAAAGTTATTAACAAATGAGCAGTTGGTGTGTACAACTGTGTATGCCAAGCATGCGGCCATGCCGGATATTTTTCGACCTTTTTTCTTAGAACTTTCCTCGAACTTCATCCAGGGGAGCTTCTTTCGTCTTTCTCTGGATGTTTTTTCAGCTTGTTCTGAAGCTAATTCAAACATTCTCCGGAGTTTTCTTCCGGAATTTTCCGATCATAGTTCAAAAGCTAAACTTATGCTTTAATTAACGGGTTTCTCAGTCTTAAAACACTGCAACGACTACGATGTAATCTGCCCGACATTTCGGCCATCGGTTGTGGTCTTCTTCAAGGGAAAATATATTGTTTGTCGTTATTGTCAAAAGTTTAGTCGTTGTTGTGGCTGATTTGCCATATTTTGGTTTCATTTAATGATATCTAATTGAAAAAACTACTTGGTCACAATTTTGATCACCACTTGAGAAAAAAAAAGATTGTTTTAAGACTAAAAAAGCCGTAAAACAAAGCAATTCCCCTCAAGTCGTTAAAATTTTCGCTTTCAAAAACGGCAAAAATATAAAATTAATTAAATAGTAAATACCGATAAATACCGATTTTTTAATACCTTTGATACCGATAAGCTTTACAACAATCTGGCAACGCTGGTCGGGAATAACCAGATCGGTGATGGATCACAACCGAAGACGACATTCACCAGTTTCTTTTCACTTCTTTCGTCTACTTGATGGAAATAATCTACACGTTGAAGCTACGTGAAAAATCACGTAGGTTCTCACTTTTTCCTCTCCTCTCAGTTTTACATGGTTTTACGTTGCTCACGTAGAATGTAAGTGATGTCCCTTGAATTTCACAGGGAGTTCCTGTTTGACACACCTACATAATCAATGAAATGTACGTGATTTTCACATAACAATGAGTCTATGTGCGTTTCACGTAAAGCTTATGAGATGTCCACATGTAAACAAAAGAGTGGTACGTTCACTCAGAGCGGTGCAAATCGTGGTAGCATTATAATTGGCTTCGGTATTTTTTAAAGAATGTGGCAATGTGTAATGAAAGTACAAAATTATGGATTATTTGATTCTGCTTGACAAAAACAAACTGACTATTTCATCGTACTCAACAGAATGATGTCAAGCTGTCCAGCCGTTTCTTCATCAAGGGAGAAAAGCATCTAGGCCCATCTCCATGATCGTCCAGATTTGTGCTGCGTTTCGAATATAAAAAAAATGCTGATGTAGTTTATTAAGTAAATTTTAATAAATTAAAGGAATATTACTATTATTAATATTAATACCGTAAAGATTTTATCTACATATTAGAGAAATATTTCTATAAACAGATATTGATACTAGAATCCTCCAATGAATGTCACCGACCAAATCACGTAACTTCTATGTGATAATCCTACACTCAAAAAATTTATCACATATCTAATGGATGAAAACCATGTGAATTTCACATAGCTTTCATGTGATCACATAGCTAAAAATCCCACCACAAAATCACATGAATATTATGAGGCCGATGAAATTCATATGAAAATCATATAAAAATTAACGTGATCATTTGCGTTTCCAATGGAAGCTACATGAACACTATTTTCGGTGTATGGCGGTTAAGTTTCATAAAATGAGTACCCCTACATGAGAATCACATAGCTCTTATGTGAAAAGTACGATGGAAAAAATCTTCGCATGTTTTCACGTAAAAATTATTCTGGGTGTAGGAATGTACAAAGCGTTACTACCATCAGCTATTTGACGATCGTGATTGTGAAAGGTTACAACTCTGATTGCGATGGCAAATCGGAATAAAAATATACTTGTCTCTCAGGCAAAAAAAAATAAATAAAAATAAAACTCTAAATAATGATTAAGCACCTTGTCAAAGGTGGGAGAGCTTACCCGAGCAATGTTAGTTAACAAAATGAAAGCAAATCGATGTTAAAGTTTGTAGTTCCTATCATAATGAAAACTCATTTTGATTTCAATTGTCACGGCATTAAGTGGACCCAACACGATTACTTTTATTGACAATAATCGTATTGTCAATACATTCTATATTGACGTCAATATATCGAGATTGACAATATTTCTGAATTCACATCATCAATATTATTGTCAATAATTCCCCTTCGCGTCAATATATTGATGCGTGTGGGGTTTGCTTTAGTCTGATATCATATTGTGCTTTCATTATGCAGTCAAAACTTTTTAAATGAAAGCGACTTAACTTGAAGTTCTGCTGTTAACGTCTTGTTTAAAATTTAATTTAAGCTCATCTGTCGTTGAACTAACTATTATTGTTTATTTGTTTTGTTTAACACATTTTAGATCATTCGTTACTTGCCCGGGATGAGATTTGAGCTCAAATTTTTCAGCGTGAGAAGCATGGATGGTAACGATTTACGCCAGGCCCGTACTGAGTTAAATATTATGAATGCAAAAAATCAGAAATCAAATTGATTTCATTGAAAGCAAGATTATTTTTCCGTTTGATTCAACAGTGTAAAAGTTTGCTCTCATTTTTGCTGTGTTAACCGTTAAGTCAACCAAAATGAGGTCAACTGGAGTATTCAAAATAAGTTATTTCATAACAGCAAATTTTGATTTCAATTTGATCTTCAGCTTTACTCGGGTAATCTCATAGTGTAGGTCTGCATGGGAGACCAAGACAGTGGCCCGAACTGATGGTGTCACATATGCTTATTGTTTATTGTTGCTTTACATCAACAGACTGGATGAAGCCCCAATGATGTTAACCTTATCAACTATTGTAGTATACTTATTAGTATTATAAGAAAGACTAGACAATACATCTATGATGCTACGGTGATCAGCTTTACAGAATTCATAAGAAACCGCAGCAGGATAATCATCGAAATCACGCACGAGTTTGTCCTCAACAGTGACAATTATACGAGCGTGATGCGGAACTAGCTTAGTGCAAAGGAGCGAGCCTGTGCTAACGAAGCAGAGGTCCAAACTATTATCGTTAACTAGGTTGGTTAATTTGAGAAAGCGTTGCTACGCTGTAGTTGTGGAGAAGACTAATAGCTCCTGCGTGAAATGTCCGACAGTGGGTATCGATGAGTTCATTGTCCCAGACTTGATCAGCTGGAATGTACAGAGCGCATAGAAATAGTGTGCGATGATGACTGTCCAAACCTGCTCCACATTGTTCCATGAATCGTTCTCGATGGCCTTTGCCTCCAACTCGCCATGGTCAGCTACAAAGACACCTCCACAATTTCTTAGCCACGTCGTAGTAAATACGTTAATATAAAGGCTCTGACATCAGGTGTGGTACCGGCATCTTGTGGAATCGTGTTACAGCAAAAAACTAGAGGCAAGGCTTCTTTCTCGATTTGGTCATGGTTCTGCTTTGCAGCTGTCAGTGATCTTGATATTTACATGCGTGATAGCCTTCACTGATCCATTAGAGAAGCGATGCATAATAACTGCGCCAAATCCATCGTCACCTGCTACAATGATGTCCTTGTTCGGTCAAAGTGTGTTAGCAACAAGTCAGAAGTGAGTAGAGCATTGAACATCTCGAATGACTTTTGGCAGCTGGCAGTCCATTCCCACGTCAGGTTTTTTTTTCAGCAAGTTATCCATGGGTGCCCTAAGCTCCTTCATTTGCTTGACAAAATGTCCATAATAATTGATAGCCCCAAGATACGATCGAAGTTGAGACACATTCTTGGGGGGGGGGGGGAATCTACGATATTGCAGTTGTCTTGGCTGGATCTGGTCGTAAACCATCTTTGTCGATGACGTGGCATAGGAACTTAATTTGCGAGAGATCAAAACGGCACTTGTTGAATCTCAGTTGGAAACCGTACGCCTTGTATCCTTCAAGGACTTCATTGAGGCTTCGGTCACGTTATTCCTTCGTCCTAACGGAAACCATGATATCGTCGAGATATGGTTTAACTCCAGGAATTCCTCCAACCATGCTATCAATAATCCTTTGTAACGCACAAGGGGCCGACTTGATTCCAGGTGGCAGACGGTTGTATTTAACCAATCCTCGATGCGTGTTAATTGTAAGGTACATCAGTAATTCATTGTCAACCTCGACTAGCAGGTAGGCATCAGACAGGTCGAGTCAGGATCCTTCTTTATCTTGAGAGGCTTAATTGAAACGGCGTTAACGAAGGATTTCTCTGAAACGAGTTTCTCTATAATTTTGGTGTCCTGCTTCAAGTTGTGGAACCGATGGCACCCTTCGACTTTCCAAGGTGAGCTTCGAACCTTCAGTCGGCGGAGTATACTCTTCAGCTTCCAACTTACCGATTAATCGGGTGCGGATGTCTGCGTCTCGCGGCGATTGTAGACCACAAACAAAACGTAATGCCTTGAACTGGTCGTCGGATAACACAGGAGCCGATGACTTGAATCGTCTAAACCCAGCTTAAAAGTATGGACGTCTGTCAAAAGTTGTTCCAATCGAACCGTCAAAATGCACCGCTTTGCTCGATTGCAACAGCTTTTTTCAGTTTTGTGGTGACAATCGTCCACACTTTAACTAGAGGGCTTTAGCTATACCTTGCAGACAAAATAACTTAGATGGCCGTGCAACAAGATTTACGCGCGGAGAGGTCATCTCTTATAAAATATCGTGTCTGGTTGAGGACTGTTTCCTCTCGCAAAAGGGATGATCGCCGATTCGCTCATGTAGGAGAAAGTACCTATGTAAAGACGGACACCTTAAGCTTAAGTTGGAAAATCTATTCATATATTTACGCAAATATTTGGCAGGCAGGTTAACAGCTTCACAATGAACAGTGCTTCCAGCTATGTTTGTTAAGCATTTATTCAATTATTGTAAAGTCACATAATCAATTTTGATGATGTTGTTGTTTAATGACTTATAAAATCCTTTAAATTTGTCGAACCTCTAACGGAATCTCTTTATGAAGAGCTTTGAGTGGTGTTGAGTGCTTGTCTAACCCAGCAATTTAATTTAATTTCAGCAGTCGACTGCTTCAGCGTCACGGTAAAACGAATACTTTTTTGACCGTATCGGTAGTCATTATTTGGAAAATTCCATTGAAATGCGAAGTAATTCACGAATGAGCCATTTGTATGCAAAATTGCGTTCATGTCAAATATGCTCCCACTTTCCCCCACAGGCTACAATGTGGAATTTTCGGAAACATAATTGGACTAAATATATACCAGTCGATAGTTGTTATTGCTTCAGATCATTTGTTCCTAGCGGTTTTGGCGACAGCCAGTTGGCAGATGTGCAGATTGTTTCCGGATAGACTGTGTTCCGCTTCACCACTGGGTGTGTTCGCTCCCCGTTAATACTTCCTACGATAATTCCACCAAGAATGGTCAGCGAGCCAAATGCCGTTTGGGGCACCAACTGACCAAATATGACCGTGGCTCCCACAAACGGAGCACCTATTAGCCAAAACTGGGAAATGAAAGGAAGATGCTTTCAGTTGTGGATTTTGCTAGAAATATTGTATATTCTATAAGCTACTCACCCTCGCCCACACAATAGTTGAATAGACGAGCCCGTTCTTTTTGCTCGCACCTACCAATTCAGCCGTACAAGTCGTCAGTATAGCCAAACAGGAAGAAATGCTAGTCTTTGAGATCATTGCCGTTAGCATTAAAAGAGCAACTCGCTTGTTCCCTGTAACTGTAATATGGAAATATGAACGATCAATCCAGTCCTGCTGCAAACTTTCCTGCTTACCTTCTGGTGGTATCAACCATGCAACGTACGCCACTAAACCACCGATGATATTGAACAAACCGGTCCAAAACCATTTGTTCTTTGTGAACATGATCAGATAGAATCCGATAAACGTTCCAATCATTTCCGATATCCCTGTATGGGTAAACAAGGATTAGCATCTGATAAACTATTTATAAAAACGTTACCTTACCTGCAATTACCGTGTTGATCTGCAGGTTTTCTCTGCCGAATGCTCTGATGTTCAGCAGCATTCCATAGTACACGACGATAAATATGGACCAGGCCAGATGGACGCAGATGAGGTTCTTCGTAGAAGCTTTCTCGCTCCATATCGAAAACCAGGGATCGGGATCTGGTTGCTCTACAGCCGCCTCGGAAAACGACTTCAGTTGCTGATCGAAATCACTCGGAATGCGTTCAGTACTGCCATTACACCTAGCAGATTCCATCAGGTACATTTTGGCCTCTCGAACCCTTCCCCGTTTGAGCAGCCACCTTGGAGAATCCGGTATCCACCTGGAATCGAACCGAAGTTGTAATGAACCAGATTGACCTACCCAACCAACCAACCCCTCAAATACCTGTGTAAGATTATCAACAAAAACGTTGGCAGAGAGATGGCCAGGTACAACTGGGACCAGCTACTCCAAAAGCTGGCGATTCCAGGCAACATAATCACGCCGATCGACCAAAATTGTTCGAACAAGCATATAGTGGCGGTTTTAAATTTGCCCCCCGTTATGTCAGTCACTGAAATTTAAGGAAATCATACATAATATCAAATTTGAACGTTTCTCTCCCCCATTCGATTCTTACTGATAACACCTCCTGCTGTGTACATGAAACCACAGCAAATTGCACTCAAACACCGGAAGAGCATGTGCAATTCGAATACGTTTATCAAACCGGTGATGCACCCGCTAATAATTTGCGTATACATTCCTGTGGACGGTTATACCAACAAGGTAAGATTTGAAAATTGATCGATAATCGCGGTACTGTTGACCTACCAAGCAGCATGATGTTCCTCGGACTGATCGTCTGCAGCAATTGGGTTGTTATAATGCCACCAAGCAAAACGCCGAATAGATGGAAAGACTGCGTAGTTGCTACCAGTATGTCCCTAGAAGTTTGAATTCGTTTCGGTTACTTCGGTTAGTTTCTACTGGAAATTATGCTCATCCATACCTCGAACACACCAAATCGAACTGGGTGATTATAGAGTTGTACTCCACGTGATGCTCGAATGTTTCACACGGTATGACCTTGGTGTTGTTGGTAGGCTCTATCCATGGTTTGATCGATGGATCGTTGTAGTACTGGAAAGAGTAAAACAGGAGGTACGAAATTGGTTTCGTCAGTCCGTGCCGGTTTTGATTAAAACAGGTTCTAATCAATCAGGAACTTATTATAGTATTGAAACGTGTTTCATTTAAAAAATATTTTAGTAACTCATGGGATGCAAAAAAAAAAAATTAACGCCACGTTCAAAAGTATGTAGAGGCTGTTCATGAACCACGTAGACACCTTGGCAAATGTCTGTGGTTCATAAAAATTTCCAAAAAGTTGAATGGACGATTGTCTACACACTTAACCTAGCTCAGTAAAATCTCCAACAGCCGATTACCTTGACATTTACTTTTGCTGATAATCTCTTCAAAATTGTTTGTTTGTTTGTTAGCTGATATCTCAGCAAAATGTTATTTGTTAGCTGAGTCTCGGCAACTTTTTTACTGAACCTCAACAAAATATATTGCAGAACTGCTCGGCTGTTGGAATCTCGGCGAAAAAAGGTAAGTGTGTACCGAGGGGTTGTGGTCTAAAACATCTCAAAAATCGTCTACGTAGTTTAATAACTTTTAGCAAGTTCGGGAAATGTATGTTATTGTATATTATCTACACTGCCGTTCTACGCATATATGACCTATGTTCTAAAAGTAACATCTGAGAAAATCACGATTAATGTTTTGAATCATTTCTGCTCGTTGGAAGAAATACAAGTTAAAATAAGTTAGTGCACATGTTCACATTTCAACAGAATCAATTTGTTTTAGTGAAAACTACAGAAATTAGCTTCAATTAAATCAGTTAAGCCTATTTTTATACGAAAACTATTCAGTGGGACTGTTATGCCGAGAAATTTGCTATGAAGATGGAAATTCTACGCATATCAGTCATACTAGGAACTATTACCATAGAGGTAACTCTAAGACCAGAAGGTCCCGAAGAAATGAGCTCAACTTTTTGACTTAGCTCTTGTACTATCTTCGGTCCCAAGCTAATCGATGCACCCCTCGAAACATAGGAAAATCCACGAGCCCCTCATTTTATCTGTCAAACTTTCATAGCGAATCAAAACAAACATAGTGTAGTACTGGAATTATTCTAGAATGGGGTACGTTAAACGATTTGCTTGGGACCAATAGGCTACTCAAGTAGTGAGCCAATTTAAAATCGTTAGTTTCGTATTGATTGTTGCTATTACTTTTCATGTTGCTTTGATGACCACGTTGCATTTGACATCTCTTGTGGGTTGTGTTTACATGAACGAGCTTGCGTTCTCCGCGAAGTTGTGAAAGTGGATTCTTTTCATAGGTTTGCATCAATAACTGAAACCAACAATAAGTGCGTTGACATTGCTGCAATCGTCGGTTGCTACAGCTATAAAGCATGGCCGTCTCGTGAAACTAATGATGAATGCTCTGTGTAGAACAAACATTTCTTAGCATTTTGTTTTACTACTTAGCATGATGAGTGTAGGACCCTGCGCTTTGGTCAGATAGCGTTGTAGGGTGTCGTTGTGCCAATTTAGACGTGGCACATTTCGACTATGAGCGAGTGATTGCAGTTTGCTCAAAAGTGCCTGAGTAAAATGCAAGTACTTTTGATGATTACCCGTAGTTGTTACAGTGAAGATATGCACCCATATTCTCGTTTATGTCTAGGCGTGTTTGCCATACAGAAAGATTTTTATTTTATTTTGTGTGGTGGATGGGTTTCGGGCGTGGACGGGAATATGGGTGATAATATTAAGTTTACGTTAGGATAACGTTGAAAAATTGAGAAATGTATCGTTTCAGTTTGAGAAGCACTTAACTTCGCAACCGATGAACCATTCTGATGGCCCACATTACCGCGCAGGTGCCGTGTGTTGGCAGGGTCCAATATAGGACAGTTTCATGTTTATAAAGTACCATCAGTTAAAACTGTATTTATGAGCTTTATCTCTATACATTCTTAGATGTTTCTTAGCAGATTATCAGAGCAAAGAGTAAATGGTATTAACATTGAGCTGTCCATAGTTGGGCGTTGAACTTGTGGTACTTGCACAACATTTCATGTGAGTACCAAAGTAACCATATAATCATAAAATAGCTTTAAATGTAGGTTCAGAGCGAGACAAAGTCACTGAGACATGGTTAGTTGGGTATTCAGATGAAACTAAACTAATCCTAGTTGAATCTCTTTTTCGTTTGCATGTAACACTATTTGATATTACTAACCGCACCGAGCGAAAATGACTATACCAGGATGAGTGGTACCATGAGCCCCTTCTCGGAACGAGTGTATTGTTAATGGACCTGGTCTACGATTCAAAGTTGGATTCTGTGATGATAAGCATCACATAAGAGGTAAAATAGGTAGCATCAAATTTATCGAAATGTAAGTACTATTGACAATAATCATAACTAGATGATCAGTTGTCCCACAGGTGTCCACAGCAGCAGTCGATTTTTTATTTCGTTGTGAACCACGCGATAGCCTGTTTTCGAGACTCGCTATTATATAGTTGCTCTTTGTTCGTTGCTAGCAGTTCGGTGCCTTTTGTTGCTACGGTGCAAGATGTGTGAAGTAAAAAATACCATCAAGTTTAGCTTCAGCCATTGTGATGCTAAACCAAACATCGGAGAGATAGTAAATTTATAGATAGCAGTAGGTACGTATGCTGGTGTAGTGGTGGAAGGTGAATCGTCAGTCAGTAGCGAACGGGAAACGGACACGGGGATGGAGATGCTGCTTGAAAATAACGTAATGGACGTGACGACCCGCACGACCGACGAGAGTAGCGGATAGCATGCAACGGGAAACGACGTTCAGAAGCAGCAGCAGCGATCACGATTCGGGTTCAATGAAAATCAGGAACAAATTCGGGAAAGAAAGAAGTTGCGTGCACGGGAGAAAATCGCTTTGTCGCCACTTCGATCGCCACCCAGAAAACTCATATGATAAAATACATTTTTATATAGGGTAAATGATGGCTTCGGCAGCCATGGACTGTTTTCGGCAACCACAATTTAAACGTTAATTTCGCTGTATTTTCTCACTAAAATAATTTGCTGAATGTATTTAAACGATTCCTCAGTCTTTCAGGTTCAATCATAATACATTTTTACGACTGATTAAATCTGTTATGTCAGGTGTTTCTTCAAATGAAACATAAGCACATGAAAATACGACTGATTTCGAGTTGCCGATAATAGAACAACTGGTTAACACACAGTTTAAACGGAAAGGTTGCCGAAGTAAAAGAGACTGCCGACAATAGTCACACTCACCTGAGAAGTTTGGAGCGCCTTAAAAACGTTTTCAAACCGTTTTGGACAGTTCTGTCGATTGGAATGGATACAGTAGCTAGCAGCAGATAAATATAAGTCTGCTTAGATTGCCGAGAATACGTAAATTCCCCTATTTTTTTGTATATTGAGTACCAAAATTGGTATTCTATGTTACTCGGCTCCGCTAAGTTATTTTCATAACATTTGAGCCTGCCAAATAAACGAAATGAAAAAAAAAACAAAATAACTAGATGATATGCAAATTTATACGATAGGTACCTGGATCAACGTTATTCAAACATGCGCATTCAACCTCGACGAAATCTAATTCTGCATTTCAACACCTTTGCCTCTCCTTTCTCTTATCCTTCACCTATGCATCTACGCTTCTATGTTAAGAATCAACTTAACCCTTATTTAATATTCGGTTGATTTCAATCGACTCGCATAAGTCATTATCTAAGAGCCATCTCATCTTTATCTATTTGATTGCTGCATGGAAGGTGTATAATTGGTCATCAACATTACACTGACGACCAGGCTCAATACCCCCTCCAGCATGGCACAATAACAATAACTACTTAGCAAGATGAGTGTAGGGTTGGTTGGAAATGCTAATATGACGCTTTAGTGTGATGATTTATTAGCTAGAGAATGATCTTTAGAAGAGGGTAGGTGGATAGTTCCGTTAGAGTACGGCAGTATGAAAATTGAATAGAAGTTGAAAATGAGCGAAGGGCCATTAATGCGACAGTTTTTAAAGATAGACGCACATTTTTGCCTAACCCGTACGATGTACGCGGGGACTTGAAGTATGTCTCCAAGTCCACAGGCAAAAATGTGCGTCCCTCTTTTTGCTCATAAACTGACTGCGGCTGTGGAATAGTTCTAGCGACGTTTTCATCACTACCTAAAGCCCCACGTTGCGAGAGCATTTCCAGTCGATGGTGTATTATAATGCAGTTCTTCTTTACCCAACTATTGTGTTGCTCCTCTCGTCATGACCAACGTGATCATCTCAGAGAGAAACCAGTAGGGTGGTTGTTGCGTGCTGTACCATCATCAGCATTGTTGACGGCTACTCCCGCCTTGAGTTGTTACATTCAAAGTGTTTTTTATGTTACTTCATACGCGAAGTTAACGATTTTCAGAGTTGGTTGGAAATGCTAATACAGGTCGGACTCGATTATCCGGAGACTTGATTATCCGGAGTTTTGATTATCCGGGGTTCGATTATCCGGAATTTTAGACTCGATTATCCGGAGTATTTTTTTTTCATGCCAATATTGGAGCTGTTTATACATCGTTGCTACATACTATTGCATTTTAAAATGTTATTTTGTCATTGGTTTTGAAATCTGAACTCTGAAATCTGAAAAAGTGAAAAACGTCCAAAAGTTACATGGGATAGATATGCGTAGAATGTTATACATTTTCGAACAAAGTTTGTTTCTCTAACTGCACTGTGGCTCATCATCATCTCATATCATTAGGTCATTAGGTCCTAAGTAACATTGATCGATTCACTTCTTCGACTTTCTCTTTCGTTAATAACTTGGGTATAGAAACGTTTCTTGTAATGTTTGTCGTATTAGAAGATATATGATAGCTTCTTTCGTCGATCTGTGAGCTGAAAATAGCTGGGAATGTCTTAACATGGCCGTGACGATGCAAAGAGAAAGTCGACGAAGATAATCTGTCAGTGTTACTTAGGACCTAATCAATGTTCAGCTTGATATTCATTCTGCATAAAGTTGCTGATA